AAAGCAAGGCAATGTAAAATTCAAAAAGAAACGTCAGCTCTACTCATATCATTGTGGCAAAATTCTACTACCAGTCCTTCATCACCTTACACGAAATTGGGTGAGTAGATGTCATATTACTGACTTACTGTTAGTCTCGAAACTCTAATTACATACGAAAAATAAGTAACGTAGTCGATTGTTGTAGCAAATATGCGTTTACTTTATCGACAATCACACCAAAAGCATGTGATATTGCAAAATGCCTGGCCTTCCTTCAAATGCACATCTGCTCTGTGACCCAAGGTCGAAACTGCAGTCAACTCCAGCCGGGATGAGAACAACCTTTGGGAAAGCAAGTCTTTATGAAATTGAATGTAAACGTCAGCTCAACTCATATGATTGTTGAAAATTCTTCTTCTACCAGTCATTCATCACCTTAAACGAAATTGGGTAAATACATTTCATATTACTGATTTACTGGTAGTCACGAAAACAATACTTAATTGGAAAACGAAAAACATTTAGTTTCTGCCAAGCATGGAATTGTGAATATCAAGGCAAAATCAAGCTTTCCGTTCAATTCGTTGTCGGCAGAATGACATTCATTATCTCCAACCGTGAACAAGTTTGTGTATGCAATGACAAAAGGCAAAAGCGTAACTGTTGGGCTTCCTTCCGTTTCGAGTGAAAGTTTTGGGTGAAGAGATTCGAAGGTCGAATCTTTCTGGACTCTTTAGCTTGAATTTGGTTGTGACGATGATACATCGCTCTGATAATGTTCGTCATGTGACGCACGAAAGTTTGGCATCTTTTCACCGGAATCGAAGGAGACCGCCTCGGAAACAGCGTCAGCATGAATGTTCCAGTAAAGCCAATCGACGGCTGGTCGAGAGGAATCCGTCGTCGTCTTCAGATGGAACACTTTCACTTGAAATGGAAGTAAACTCCACAATCATGAAGCAAGAGATTCCTCGAAACCCAACTTTTCTTCGCATAAAAAAGCGCAACTCACCATAATTGCGAGACTCTGCTTCTCCGAGCGTCAACTTGATCTGGTCTCCTTGGCCCCTGCCCTTGATTGACTCCAAACCGGTGACTGAGCCAAAGTGTCCCTCCTTCCAATTCAGCCATTCTCTCGTCGAGTCATGACTGTCCAATGGCCGTATTCTCGCCCCGTCCCGTTGGACGGTGTTGTCCAGCGCCGCATCGACCGGCCGAGTCCCACTGGCCTCCAGCCCGGCCACGCTGACTGACGAGTAGAGACTCGGCCTGTCGTCAGCCTCGCTCGAGCCCTGTTCCCGGGGCCCGTAGCAACCAGACGCCATTGGAGCCGCGTCGGGCAGGCTGAAATTGCAGGACACCTCTTCAGGAATTCGCGCCATCATTGCAGTTGCCGCAGCATCGGGCATGGCAACCGACGCGTCTAGTTGGCATCGCGACAGCTCCTCGCCCGGCACGGAGCCCGAATGCGGTCCGATGGAGATGGGTAGCAACGGGGCTGTGTAGAATCGGGAGGCGTCTGAAAGACCAGTCAGGCTGGCGAAGCCGAGGTGGGGGGGGCCTGTGGGCGGCCAAAAGCGAGTGTTGCTGGCGCCCACGGAGAGACGATGAAATGGCAGAAGCGAAGACGAGACTGACCGGTCCTTGTGCAGTCCGGGCAGTGGAGGTACGAGGCGGGCGGAGAATTCCAAGGGGGGCAGGGAGAGGCAGGAGGGCAGAGACGAGTCGGGGGAGGAGGTGAGGGCGGGAAGAAGAGGCGGGGGGCAACGCGACGGGATTGGGCCGACTGCGGCTCTACCGGACGCAAAAGAGGCGAGCAGGTTGGAGGCCGAGTCGCCGACGACAGGGGCGTAGACGAGGCCGTCGGCCGCGGGCGCATGTGGGCCGGGCCAAAGGTCGGGCGGCAACGAGGGCGTAAAGTGGAGAGACGAACCGAGTGGCCCAAGTGGCGTGAGGTAAGAGGTCAGCGAATGTCTGACGGTGCCTTGTGCCGCCGGACCGAGGGGTCGTCCACGCCGTAGCAACGACTCATCCACGCGATGGGTGCAATTGCAATCGTTGGAAGGAAAGCCGGCCGGCAGATCAGGCAGCGGAATCGAGCAGGACGACTAGAAAGAGAGCGAAAGATGGAAAGAGACACGTTTTGAGCCGATCCTGGCAACAACATCGGAAGAATCATTTCCAACAGACACATTACTTCATTACTTGGGACTATCAATTTGGTCTAGAATGTCCAAACACAGATAAACAAACAGGTGCACACACACACATACACACATGCAGGCGTATATATCAGCATATGTAGATTTGATAGCAAAGTGCACAGGTCTTTCTTTGTATATTTAATAAACAGCTAAACTAATAACAGGTACAGAAAGATTTTATTTATTCGTCACGCTAATAAATAATCAAACCATAGAACATGTATTACTTATAAATTACAACATCTGTATGTGAGTATATATAATATTTAATTACTTAAAATATATAATATAGTGTAATAATTATATATATAGATATATATTTACTAAATATATAGTAAGATCTACTAATTATATAAATAATATTATATCTAGCTGATGTAGTAGGTTCTAAACTATAATTGTCTTTTACTCTTTATATATAAATTGCACAAAGAACTAATCAATTATCAAAATAAACAGTATTTAGAATTTGAATAAGTTGCTATTTGTTCTATATTAATTTATAATATACTAATTATATATGTTTAAGTCAAAAAAAGACAAGATGATCAACTGATTATCTTTAACATGCTGCGAACTCAACATTGACATTACATTGCGTTTTTCCCTTCTGACGTTTGTCAAGTGAATTGTAAGTTGCGAGCTCAGCATTCTTTCAGTGTAACCGAGGGAGGAGCTCTAGTGGATTAAGTAAATTCTTACGTCTCGGTGCAGCCAAACGACAGCAGAACTGGTGACATTGACCCACGAATCTCTTCTTAACACGCGTTCGTTTGAGATTTGGACCAAGTCGGCATTAGCATTTTCACTAAAAATGGCCAGCTAAGCAACAAAAATGAGAGTAGTTCGAATCTGAATATTTAATGCATCTGCCAAATGAAGTTTAATGAAGACGAGTAGTATGGAGGACAGGACGAGAAACGAAGAGTTCGAAGTGTCCGATAGATTGTGGTAAGAGCAACAAATGGCTAATAGACGGAAAATAATCGGACGAAACGAGTCCTTTATAGCACAACTATCAAACTGTTAATCTGGACCCATCATTTCAACGTCGAAAATTACACAATTCTTAACTCTATTTTTATTATGCCAATAAATAAATTACCGTATGAACTCTAAACTCAACTAGTAAACAAACTCATTTTTTAAACGCTATGCATGCATAAGAGCTGTATTCACACTATTTCTT